ATAGGGTTGCTAGGGGTTGCCATCGACTTGGTGGCAGTAAGTAGAGTTTTGAATGGGACCTGGTGGCAGTACTTCAGATCACTTCCGATACTAAAAGTTCATTGGTTCAAACCTGCCAGCTGCTTCATGGGAGAGAGATGTGGACAGGCTGCTTTCATAAAGATCTCAGTGGGGCAGTTCTACTTTGTCCTTTAGGGTAACAATGAGTTGATTCTATTAAACGACAGTGTTCTTGTTCTGCTATGAATTAGAATTTACTTGAGGGCAGTGGATTTACTCTTTGGGGCAAGGAACCCCGGCAGATTAGTGTTACTAAGCGGTCGACTGTAAACAAAAAAAAAATCAGTCCTTCCAACCCAGTGAGGCAAAAGGTGTACATCCTAAAAAATAAAAAGATTTGCATCCTTGGAAATGCTTTGAGGTAGTCATGCAGGGTCACTATGATTCAGAATTAGCTCCAAGCTAGCAGGTTTGGCTGGGGTTTGAATAAGACCTGGGAATTTGCATTCCTGTCCAGTGCCCAGGGGGTGCTGATACCGTTGGCCCTTCTGCTGGACCAGAAACCACACTTCCGGAACCACAGAGAAAAGAGTGCGCATGAATGCCGAGAAGACATGCACCAGAGTGTCCCAGTTGCTTTTCTCCTCATTGTCCCACACTGCAGACAGGAGGGAAGATTTTCCCCAGTGGCACTGTATTCAAACCGTGGAATACTGCACAACCATGAAAGACAACAGGCCTCTGAGACCCCCACAGTATGAACTGGCTCTCTAGCGCTGCATGGAGGGAAAAGGGACAGCCTCTTGCCACTTTTTGTGAAGTTCAACATCAGGCAAAATAATCTTACAGAGAGCACATTGGCAGCTACTCCGGGCAGCGGTGGGAGGGTCACTTGAGTGCTAGAAATGGTTCCTATGTCCTTCAGAAATGGGAGCAGGAACACCCCCCCTCCCCCGTACACCCAGCCCTAGATAACACATGGAGAAAGTGACCCATCAAGGATGCCAGGAACTGGGTTCTTGAAATTCATAGGAAGAGTTAGGGTTCCCAGGAACCTCCCTGATTACACTTCTTCCTTTTTGTGGTTAAATCTATATATAACATTTACCATTTGAACGTGGGTTGTTTTTTTTTAGGGGCGGGACTTTTTAAAGTGTCATTAAATACATTCACAATGTCCTATAGCCATACATCACTATGTATTTCCAAACCTTTGCCACCACCCCAAACGGCAACCTTCCTACAGTAACTCCTCATTCTCCCCCTCCTTCAGCCCATGTGGTGGTGAGCGAGGTCCCATCAAGTCCGTTCCAATTTAAGAGTGACCTTGCGTGCCCCAGAAGGAAACGCTGCCCAATCCGGAGCCATCCTGAAACCCATCACCCTGTTTGAGCCCATCGCTACAACCACTGTATCAACCCAGCAAGCTGAGGGTCTTCTTTTTCTCTGACCCTTACTAACCACTAAATTACTTTGGTCTCTGTAGGGTTCATTGTAGTACCAATGAAATATGTACCCTGTTTAATTTGCATGCGGTCATTACACTGGTTGCACTTTTGTGCCTGACTCACACCACTCAGCATTGTGTTTTCAGCGTTCATCCATGGGTTAGTGTGAATCAGGCCTTCGTTTCTCTTTTTGACTGAGTCGTATTCCATTTCCGTCGTGTTGGCAGAACACATTTTGTTTAGCCATCCGGTTGTTGAAGACACTTGAGCTGTTCCCCTGCCCCCACGTGTTTGAATAATGGTGCAGTGTTCTCTGGTGCACAAGGATCTGTGAGCCTGCCTTCCGTTCTGTTTGTTATACATATGATTTGGATTGGGACTGCTGGGTCATGTGATAATTCGATGTTTACCTTTTGGAAGAGCCACTGGAATCCTTTCTTTTAACCCATTTCTACGTCTAAGGTGATGCTGTGGGCTAGGCATTGAGCTGTCAATCACAAGGCCAGTGGCTCGGTCCCATCAGCCACACCGAGGGAGAAAAATGAAAAAAACAAACAAAACAAAAACAGCCCAAACTCTTTGTGGTTACTCCCATAAAGATGGACAGTGTCAGAAACACTATACAGAGCCGCTGTAAGTCAGAATCGACTAGAGGGCATGGGTTTGATATTGTGGGGTTTGGCACCCCTAAGTCATGCCAATCATATTTATAGGTGAGGCCCTGCTTTAATATCTGTCTTGTGCAATGGTTAAGAATCATTACGCACATCGTATGCTTTTGAGATTCAGAGAAGTTAAAATGATTTCCCTAAGATCATTCAGCCCACAGCTGGACAGGACAGTCAACTTCTTATCCCAGTGGGAGGCACGATGATGTAGAAACCCCATTAAGGCCCTGAAGATGGTACAGTCTGCTCAAGAGCTGGGTGACTTCTTGTGTGGGACAAAGCGGACCCACTGCCACAGGCAGCACTCGTCCTCCCAAACCACAGTCTGAATAGCTGGGGCAATGGAGAACGGGCAGGGGGAATAAGTGTTGAATGCAACTAGATATTTCATAAAAATCATATGCATTGTCCTTTTAAAAAATATATATATGCATGCAAAACCCAACAGTCAGCAGTCACTTTCAAACGAAGATGAGAAGGCCGGGAAACTAGACCAAGGGAAACAGAACCACTAGGGCGGAAATAATGGTCTCACAGTGTGATGTATGTCACTGATGCCACCCAACAGCCTTGTAGAACCTCCACTGCAGGACACATCTTCACCAAAGGCACAGGAAATACATTACTCCAAAAAGTACAAAACTGTGGACCGCTAAAAATCTCCCTCTCATCTCTCTCCACCTTTGTCGCCCTGTTCCTCTCCCTGTAGAGAATTGAAGTGATGCACACCTCAGGTCTTCTTCCAGAGATACTTTATGCAACACAGCAGATATGAATACATTTTCCCATTTGTTTTATATAAATGATAGCCTACTATATCCACTGTTCTGCCTCTCCCTTATTTTCGGTTAGCCTAGTTTGGAAGGTGTACCAAAGCAGAATAGAAGGAGCATCCTCATTTCTATTGGCTTTTTAAAAAACCCCATTGTATGGGACTATCAATCACCCAGCCTGGAGGTCCCGAAGAGTTCTTGAGCCTACCAGGGGACGTGGATCTGGCACGCAGAGATCTGTGAATTGACATAGGACATTCCGTTTAGAGGAGTCAAACCACATTTACAAATAAAATGGCATTTCCACATTCACTACCCTCCAACTGCAACGATCGTTTTCTTCCTTTGTGAATGGAGGCGACAGGCACATGACCAGCACCTAGGACGGCCACTTGGAGCCCCGTGGCGGCACAGTGGTTTCTCCTTGAGCTGCTAACCGCAAGGTCACCAGTGTGAAACCACCAGCCACTATCTGCTCCCACAGACTTATTATCTCAGAAACCCAAATGAACAGACCTACTCCCTCTTACAGGCTCAGAAGGAGTCAGTATCTATTCGATGGCCATGGATTTGACTTTTTTTTTACTATTAATGCACATGTGCTTTGTTTTAGTCTTATTTTGAAGGAACTTCAAACCCATGGGAAAGTTACAGGAACACCTGTGCACCATTTCTCTTGATGGCAGGTGTTAATGTTTTGCCATGTGTTTTAATTTCTCACTCCTCCTTTGAACATACGAATGTGCACACAGATATACATACCTATATACATATGCAAATGTTTGTGCTTGTCCTCCAGAACCCACATAACCAAACCCCACTCCAAGGAGTCCTCCCTAATGGTTTCCAAGACTGTAAGTCTGGACTGGAGCAGACAGCTTCACCTTTCTTCCTTGGCTCGGCTGGTGGGTTTGAATCAAGGCTCTTGTGCTTAATTAGCAGTCTAATGCCTCACCTGAGAGGGCCGCCAGAACTCCTTGAGTAGCTGTTATTTATTAAAGCATGTGATTTCCTCAAGGATTTGCATTTCTGTTACAGATATGATGGATAAATACTATGTCTGTTTCCTAGGACATGTTGGTGTGAGGTGCTGCCCCATCAGTAACAACCAATAACCACAGAATAAAGCCCTGCCCAATGCGCTGCTACCCTCCCGATTATTGTTGGAGCCCACCGTTACAGCCACTGTGTCAGTCCATTCCTTTTTCATTGACCCTCTCCCAAGCATGATGTCCTTCCCCAGGGACGGACTGGTCTCTCCTGCCAACATGTCCAAAGTAGATGAGGTGAAGTCCCTCCATCCTGACTTCTGAGGAGCATTCTGGCGGACCTCCTTCCAAGACAGATTTGTTGGGACAGGAATGTTCCAGCATTCCATTGTACTGTCAGCATTTCTGGCTCTGTTAGGCTGGGTTGTCTTGAGAAACAAAGCCAGCGATGTTCACAGATGTATAAGATAGAGCTTTATTTCAAGAAGAAGTCATCCTACATCACGAAGGCATCCCAGCCCACTCCAACGTAAGTCCCTAAGTCCAAAGGCTAGTGAGGGCAGAGGAGGTCCTCAGGCTCACGGAGCTGCAGGCCAGTGACGCGGAAAGGTGAAGCAGGATGCAGGGAGATCACAGGCCCGAGTGGGTGCCGAGTCACACGGATCCAAAGTCAGTGGGAACATGTGGGGCTGCCGCTGGAGATGGGCAGAGTCCCAGCATGGAGACAGAGGGGAAGTGTCCTTTGCTCTCTTAGAAGAAGGCCAGGCTCCTAAGGAAGCATCATCAGGCTCTGCTCTGATTGACAGGTGGGGCGCCACCCCGACGCTTTCATACAAATTCAAGGTGACATCAAATCATCCAACTACCCCGCGTGCCAACGCCATCATTCAAAGGCATCGATTCTTCCCCGGCCCTCCTTCATCACTGTCCAGCGTTCACATGCACGTGTGGCTGCTTGGTGCTGGCCAGTCGGTTCTGACTCATAGCAGCCCCGTGAGAAGGAAACACCGCCCGGTCCTGCTGCGCCGTCCTCCCGTTGTTCTTGTGTTTGAGCCCACTGTGGCGGCCACTGTGTCCCTCCATCTCTTCATCCTGCCTCTTTTCCATCGTCCCTCTACTTTACCAGTCACGATGCCCTTCTCCAGGCCCCCGTCTCTCCTGATGATAACATCTCAAGTCTGTGGGACGAAGTCTTGCCATCCTCACCTCCAAGAAGCATTCTGGCTGTACGTCTTCCGAGACAGATCTTTTTGTTCTTTCGGCAGCCCGTGGTACTTTCCCTGTTCTTCACCAGCACCACAGTGCAAATGCATCCGTTTTCCTCCCTCCTCTGCGTTCAAGGTCCGACTTTCATGTGCATGTGAGACCATTGAAAACATCCTGGCCAACGCTGACGGCAACAAATGTACAAATGTGCTTGACACAGTACATGGATGGATGGATTTGTGATAAGAGCTGTACAAGCCTCCAATAAAATGATTAAAAAATAGAGAAAGAAAACGCCATGACTTGGGTCAGGCACACCTTAGTCTTCAAAGTGACATCCTTGCTGTTTGATACTTTAAAGAGGTCTTGTACAGCAGTTGTCCCGATAATAACCTTGGTCCTAATAATAGCCTTTATAGCGTTTTTTTAAAATGTAGGATCCCATGCAGGGTCTCACAATGGCACTAATCTCTTTGGATTAGGGCCCTGCTACTCTGGTATGACCTCATTCTAACTTACCTAGTTACACCTGCAGAGGCATTATTTTCAAATGAAGTCACACGCCTAGGTACTAAAAAGTCAGATTTTAATATCACCTGGGGTGGGGCGGGGGTGGGTGGGTGGGGAAACACAGTGAAACTCATAACAGAAACTTGACACTTTTGCTTTTTAAAAAAATCATTTTATTGGGGGGCCCTGACAACTCTTATCACAATCCATGCATCCATCCATTGTCTCAAGCACATTTGTACCTAGGTTGCCATCGTCCTTTTCAAAACCTTTTCTTTCTGCTTGAGCCCTTGCGATCAGCTCATGTTTCCCCCCGACACTTCTGCTGCTTCACCATTGACAAAACCCTTCTAATCGGCTAAGGCTCGGGGCCTAAGGTCCAGGTTAGGGTCACTTCCAATGTCCAGTGACCCCGGGTGTGAGAGTAGAATGCCCCCACTGGGCTTCCTCAGCTGTCATCTTTACCAGAGCAGGTCACCAGGTCTTGCTCCCACGGCCACACGGTGTGGGTGGGAACTGCCCACCTCCCAGTGACCATCCGAGTGCGCCGCCAACTAAAATCCCAAACCCATTGCCGTCCACCGGGGTCTGAATGAGACCGACTCTGTTTGCAGTCTGGGAAACCCGCAGAGGCAGTTCCACTCTGCCTGACTCATAGGGTCACTATGAGTCACAGTCGACTGGCCGGCAGTGAGTTTGTTTCACTGAGAGAGCGGAGTAGACCGCTCGCCTGAGCAGGACAACCTCCAGTGTCTCTGCAGAGCAGCCGGTGGGTTCAAACCAAGGCTCCTTTACAGGGTCCCTGTTTGTGCTGCTGTTGTTGGGTTGGTCCTGGCTCAGAGTAACCCGAGGTATAGAGTCCCTAGGAGTGACAAAACCCGAGTTCCTTCCTTTCTGAGATGGAAAGCCATCCTCGGGGAACCTGCTCAAGAGCTGTCTTGTCTTCCAGGTGAGCCTGGGGCCCGACAAGATGGTGGTGGATCTGACCGACCCCAACCGGCCACGCTTCACGCTGCAGGAGCTGAGGGACGTGCTGCAGGAGCGGAACAGACTCAAAGCCCAGCTCCTGGTAGCACAGGAAGAGCTGCAGTGCTACAAGAAGTAGGTGCAGACCTGCCTGGGGGCTCCAGGGTACAAATTCCTTCTCCCCACCCCCGCCCCCCATTTAATGCCGTAAAGACCTAATATGCTCCGGACACTGTTGCAGACCCTGCAGGTAATGGTCCCGGAGTAGCCAAAGAGTGAGCCCATGCTAGTCTGGTGGGGCAGACAGGCAACCCACAAAGCCCAGACTGTGACGCAGGATCGTGAGACAAGGAGCAGAATAGAAAGTGAAGTGCAGTGAGCTCAGGGAGGGGTGCTGGGGCCTTGCTGTTTTGAGACTGGGTGGTCAGAGAAGACCCCTTTGATGAATGTCAACAAACGGGCAACCATGTAAAGGTTTCGGGAGCAGAATAGAAGAGGAGGTTGCCAAGGCCCTGAAGGGGGAACAAACATGGCTAGAAACCGATAGTGGGGCCCCTGATTGCAAGGGAGAGTGGGAGTCAGAAAGGGCCGGGAGAGGTCTGCCTGGGCAGCCACAGGAAGGAGCTTGAATTTGACATTGACATTGAGTGCAATGAGAGGCTGTTGACATTTTGCTTAAGAGAAAGAGGAGGTCTGACTTACTTTTTTAAAAGACCCAGAGGATGATCTTGAGGACTGAACTCTGTGGTTTTGTCAGAGAATGCCCTCATTCATAGGCAACACACGCCGACGTATGCAGGCGTTAGAGAGCATGCTGTCTCCAACGTACTCTTAAATGGTTCGGAAGGTGAACGGGTGGGTGGACAGATGATGGATGGGCAGACGAACAGACAAGAGAGACAGACTTTTGGAGGCGTGTGTGCAAAGGGCCTATGGGAAATCCTTACAGTCATCATAAAACTTTTCTGAAAGTTTAAAGTGTTTTAAACATTAAAAGCTAAGGAAGATGACAGTGACATCCGTGTACAGACTGGATCCTAGGACAAGCAAGAGTTGGGAAGAAAGAGCTGCAGCTCGCTCCGGCATGGCTTTCCCAATCGATCTTTGTGGAAGAACAGTGAGGGTGCTCCTCAGAAGCCAGGAGGGTGACCCCTTTTGACGAAGATGCCGCCAAAGGCAGAGAAGGAAGCCCCTGCCCCTCCCAAAACAGAAGCCAAAGCAAAGGCTTTAAAAGCCAAGAAGGCCGTGCTGAAAGGCGTCCACAGCCACACACACAAAAAGAAGATCCACACGTCACCCGCCTTCTGGGGGCCCAAGACCCTGAGACTAAGAAGGCAGCCCAGATACCCTGGAAAGAGCGCCCCCCCTCCCCCAGGACCATTATGCCATCATCAAGTTGGACCGTTATGCCATCATCAAGTTCCCCTGGACCACCGAGTCTGCCGTGAAGAAGATGGAAGATAACAACACACTTGTGTTCACTGTGGGTGTCAAAGCCAACAAGCACCAGATCACACAGGCTGTAAAGAAGACCTTTGACATTGACGTAGCCAAGGTCAACACCTTGATCAGGCCTGATGGTAAGAAGAAGGCATATGTTCCACTGGCTCCTGACGATGACGCTTTAGAGCAGCGGTTCTCAGCCTTCCTCACGCCATGACCCTTTCCTACAGTTCCTCATGTGGTGTGACCCCCAACCAAAGCATTATTTTCATTGCTACTTCATCACTGTCATTTTGCTACTGTTATGAATTGTCATAAATATCTGATAGGCAGGATGTATTTTCATTGTTATAAATTAAACATAATTAAATCACAGTGATTAATCACAAAACAATATGTAATTATATAAGTATTTACATGGTTTCCGATGGTCTTAGGTGACCCGTGTGAAAGGGTTGTTCAACCCCCAAAGGTGGTGCAACCCACAGGTTGAGAACCTCTGCTTTAGATGTTGCCAACAGAATTGAATTATCTAAACTGAGCCCAGCTGGCTAATGCTAAATCTAAACTTTTTCAATTCCAAAAAAAAGGAAATAAAGAAGCCAGGATGGTCAGACTTCAGCGCATGTACGTTGGACATGTCCTCTGGAGGGACCTTTCCCTGGAGAAGCACATCATAAATTGTCAGTAGTTTCTTTAAAAAAATTAATACACGGGGGAACCGATGACAAGGATCTACATATAACCTCCTCCCTGGGGGATGGACAACAGAAAAGTGGGTGAAGGGAGACTTTGGACAGTGTAAGCTATGACAGAATAATTATTATAAATTATCAAGGGCTCATGAGGGAAGGGGGAGTGCGGAGGGAGGGGGAAATGAGCTGATACCAAGGGCTCAAGTAGAAAGAAAACGTTTTGAAAATGATGATGGCAACAAATGTACAAATGTGCTGACACAATGGAAGGATGTATGGATTGTGATAAGAAATGTAAGAGCCCCCAATAAAATGATTTTAAAAAATTAATACAAGAGTAGTTCCAGGGAGTCTTACAAGCTTGTTTTCAAACAAGCAGCCATCGAAGTGTGGTATCAACTAAGTCCACTGGAAGAAGCCCCCTGGGTGATCCAAGGATTAGAAATAATGCAAATCTAAAGGAGGGAAGCGTGTCCGAGGGAGGGGCGTGACACTGCATCTGCAGAAGCCTATGGATGTTGACCTGGCGGCAGTGGCATGGCGGTCACACACACACTGGGCTGCCATCCTCAAGGTCCGCAGCTAGTGTCCACCAGCTGCTCTGTGGGGGGAAACGGCTTTCTCCGTCTGTAAAGAGTTACCTTCTACCCTGCCTGCAGTGTCACTGTGGCTGGCACTGGCTGGACGGCAGTGAGTGAGATGACGGCAGTGGAGGCCCAGCATCCATTTGCAGGGTCCACACACGGGTCAAGCCTCCGGTGAATGGCCTCCGATGATAGTTGAAGGATGTGAATAGCCCTGTTACCAAAAAAAGAACACTGTGATGTCAATCATGGCCAAATATTTAGGTTAGAATATAATACCAGTTGATTCCCCTTTTGACCCATTTTGAAGGCTGTTTCAGTTTTTGCTTTTAAATGAAGGGGAAATACATGTGGGTTAAGCCCTCTGGCCATGGGCCAGGGCTGTGAGTAGCCTTGCTGTTAGGGGGAATACATGGCAAAGTGGATTGTTGCAGATTCAGTTAGGTTAAAATTTAGCACCTTATCATTTGATCTTCCTTTATAATCCATTCAACTTTGTTCTAGTTTTTAATATATTCTGCTTTCTTTTCAATTGAGGTTTTTATCTATTTTGCTTTGTTATTGTTGTTAGTTTTGTTTTTAATGTGTTTCTGTATATGAAATATATAGAGACAGTAACTAGAGGACTGGTTTCTTGGGGGCGTGGCAGGGGGGTTGGGGGGAAACGGGGAGCTAATAACGAGGAGGACAAGAATGAACCACATGTTCTAACACTGACTGTGATGATGATGGGACAACTCTTCTTGATGTGATTGAACTACTGAATTTTATGATATGTGAATTATATGCCAATAAAACTGTTGGGAGGGGAAAAAAAAAGACTTGGTCTGTGATCTGAAAGGTCAGCAGTTCAAAACCACCAGCCACTCCTCCTTTCTACTCCTGTAAACAGTTACAGTCTGTTCTGCCCTGTCCTATAGGGTTTCTGTGAGTCAGCATGGACTCAATGACAGTGAGTTGGGTCACAAGGAGGTGGAGATAAAAGATATCCCAACTGTCCAAATAGTCCCAAAAGATTCTACCACTCCATTATCCCTAATATCAACCACCACTCCTTCACTTAGTACATTCCCTCATGTGGTAGTTACATACTGTGTTGTCAATTTGAGACTGTAAGAGTGAAGGAGTGGAGTTTAGCCTGCCAATCAGGTCGCAGCTTGATGACCTCATTTGGAAGCGCTAAGGAGATAAATAGCTCACTGGAGGCAGGACACAGGCTCACTCCCTGCGAGACATGACTGATGATGAGCCTGATAGAGCTATGCTGATGCAGCCAGAGCCCAGAGCTGGAGAAGGCATGTGGAGACCCACGCCAGCACTGAGATGCTTCTACCGCCAGAGGATCCACAAGACATTTCTGCCCACTGGCCTGTGATCTTCCTGCATTCAGCATCATTGTTTGTGTTTGGTGAGTCTAAAGATAATTTTATAGATTGATATCGGACTTATTGATTAATATTGGACTTATGGGCTTGATCTGGACCGGCCTAGGATGTTTTCTCAATATTTAGTTGCTCTTGTATATAAAGCTCTTTTTTTATACACATATACGTATCTATGAGTTTGTTTCTTTAGTCTACCCAGACTAACTAACACACCTCACATCTCAGGGTTCTACAATTTGCTGAAACGTCTCAATAACCATTAAGGATCTGGCTCATGACAATTCCAAAGTTGAGCCATCGTCTGAAGGATCCTCTTCCTCTGCAGACCTGTAGAAGGGCAGCTGGTGAAATGCAGTCAAGTCCCAAGAAAAAGAACACACCACATGCAGAGCCCAGAGCAGGAGGATGAGAGGCCCGAAGAGAAAGCAGGTCTCACTTGCTTAGCCCGGCCGAAAAGCACACATGGACTCCTGTCCAGATGGCCCTCCTGAGTCCTGGGCCTGTTGTCTCTCAGGGCGGTCGGTCACTGGCGCCTGACTGGTGTTCCTCACCAGTGACCCGGCACCCGTCTTCTGCTCACGCTCACTTGGGAAGGGGCGGCCGCAAAGGTGGCTGTGACGAAGGTGTGATGGTTGCCTTCTGCAGCCCGGATGCCTAAGGAAACAGAGGGGGTAACGTGAGTCTAACAAGGTTCTGCCCCGCCTTGAGCCAGTCTCAGAAAGCCCCCTCCAGGATGGGGTTATATCCACAGGGGTAGACGCTAGCACTGACACCATGAAAAGAGGGGCCCTGACCTGCAGGGCTCTCTAGTAATTACGTCACTACATCGTACTCTGATCTTTCATCAGAGTCTGAGTGATAGTATTCAGAAACTGTAATAAATTTGAGAGAGCAGCAGTCAGAGTCGAACTCTTCCAAGAAGCCGAATCCAAAAGGGTTGAGTCCTACGAACCGGAATTCAATCACCGTCTCAACTTCGGTTGAGGTTGCGACCCTCTCTGTGGAAAGGCCTCTTCGCATCTCTTTGGATAAGTACTTCCTTGTCAGCCAAGCTGACTCCAGCTCAGAACGACCCACCAGCACCATAGAGAGCCATCCCACAGCATTCCTGTACTGCAGTCATTAGAGGCATGGTCACCTCGGATTTTTCCCCCTAGAGTGGCCGGTGAGTTCAGACTTCCAACCTTCCAGTTACAAGGGGAGCGCTTAATCACTGCCCCACCAGGGCTCCTGCCAGGGCAGACATCCGTGGTTCCAAAGAGGAGCAGCTAAACGCTGCTGCCAAGAGCAGTTTGACTGAATGAAGCCACGCCTTTCGTTTCCAGTGGCAAGTGAGTTCCCCGAGAGCATGTGGGCACCGCCTGTCATGTGGGTCAGGCTAAAAGCAGCAGGATTCCATCGAGGATCTAGTGTTGTCTGGTGCAAGGAGGGCGTTACTTTGAGGACTAAGGTGAGCCTGACCCAAGCCACGGTATTTCCCATTGCTTCCTAAGCAAGCGGAAGTTGGACACTGAATAAGGAAGCCGGGAGAAGAATCGATGCCTTTGAATTGTGGTGCTGGAGAGGAATACTGAAAGTACCATGCACAGCTACAAGGACAAACCGATCTGTCTTGGAGGACACATGGCCAGACGGTTCCTTAGAGGCAAGGACGGCAAGACCCCGTTCACATACTTTGGACATAATGTCATGAGAGACCCTGGAGTCCCGGGAGAAAGGCATTATGCTTGGTAAAGCGGAGGAGGGTTGGTGACAAAGACAGAGGCCCTCACCAAGATGGATTGACACGGTGGCTGCCACAATGGGCTCAGGCACAGGAACACTTGTAAGGATGGAGCAGGAGCGTTCAGTGTTCTGTTCTGTCATGCAGAGGGTTGCTCTGGGTCAGAACCGATTCGATGGCGCTTATGAAAAACAAACATCGAGTGTTGTATATATTGTGGTGAAGCCCACATGTCACCTGGGGTGTTCTCTTAGCCACTGCGTGCATGGAGGGCCTGAGTCCAGACTCGGGACCGTTTGTGATAGAAGGGAGGTTGACAAGGTTGTCTCCGGTGCCACTCTGCCGTTTCCCATCCTGTGTGCCTTGTGCAGTGAGGCTGCCATGCCTGTCCTACAGAATGACCCTATTCAGGGGCGCATGGTCACCAGGCACTGGAAGTCTGTGCTTCCATATCCAAATGTTCTTCTGATTTCTTCTTCTTTTAATTTTAATAAATCATTTGATTGGGGGCTCTTAACAGCTCTCACAACAATCCATGCATCCATTGTATCAAGCACATTTGTACCTATGTTGCCATCATCATTTCCAAAACATTTTCTTTTGACTTGAGCCATGGGTTATCAGCTCCTCCTTTTTCCCATCTCACCCTCGTGAACCCTTGATAATTTACAAATTTCTTTTATTTTCCTATTTGACACCGTCCACTTCTCCCTTCACCCACGTTTCTGTTGTCCATCCCCCCGGGGGGTGTTGTATGTCGATCATTAAGATCGGTTCCCCCTTTCGTCCCCACCTTCCCCTTCCCCTCCTGGTATCGCTACTCTCATTATTGGTCCTGAGGGGTTTATCTGCCCTGGATTCTGTGTGTCGAGAGCTCTTATCTCTACCAGTGCACATACTCCTGTCTAGCCAGATTGGTAAGCTAGAACTGGGGTCATGATAGTGGGGGGAGGGAGGAAGCATTAAAGAACTCGAGGAATGTTGTGTGCCTCCTTGGTGCTACACTGCACCCTGGCTGTCTTGCCTCTTCTTGGATTTTTTTTTTTCCAAAAACACTTCTTGTTGTGAATGAGGTGGAGGTGTGTAAAGCCTATCAATTTGGAGACCAAAATTCATACTTTTTGCTGCAACTCATCCATTGCAGTCCCAGCTCGCATTGCACTTCCTCCCTGTGTTTTCCTGTTGCAGTGCCCCCTGCTTTCCTAACCCGTCTGAATTTCGTCCTTGGGTAAATGAAGCCCTTTTGATCTCAAACGGTTGACTGCGCTGAGGTGTGTGCGCCTCCCGAGCTGTCTCTGGTTGTTCTCAACGATTGGCGTTGGCTGCCCCAAGGCGGCTCCAGCTCACAGTGACCCCGTGTACAAAGGAACAGCCCCCCGCCTGGACCCGGGCCACCCTTGTCCTGATGGCCATGGTGTTCGAGCCCAGAGTTGCGGCCATTGTATCAATCCATCTTGTTGAGGGTCTTCCTCGTTTCCGACGCCCCCTCTGCTTTAGAAATCCCATTATCTTGTAACAGTCATGACGAAGACGCCTCCCTGCAAGAAGTGCACAGATGAGACCCGTGTGATGAAACCGCTGACTCATTTGCATCTTTTTCCCTTTTGCAAGTGGCCTGATTCCCCCAAGAGAAGATCCAGGAGGAAGACGAGAAAAGGGTGCCCTGGTTCCCAGGACCGGCCCTGCTAGAGTGAACAAGGAGGAGAAGACCGTCATCAAGAAGCTGTAAGACACCTTTCTGGCCCCATTTCCATTGAACCGCTGCCTCCCAGAGTGGGTGATACGTCCCTTGGGGGAAGGGCTGGAGCCATCCAGGGAGGCGACACTTTACCCTGGATTATGGGCTATAGCACAAAAGTTTTTCATTGCCAGGGGGGGCACTGAGTAATTTTTTTTTCCTGAAAAGGGAGTAGTAGGTCAAATAAGTTTGGAAACCTAACCTGTGCACCAAACAGATATTAAAGTTGGGAGGTGGGGCTGAAGAAGGTGCCCCTCTCGCCCAGGGTGCTGCAAACATGAACTTAGTGCCAGGGGAGTGGAACATCTGCTGACCCTGAGTCCAGACACTTGGCATATACCAACCCAACACCCCCCCACCCCCCCACCTCCCGCTGTTGCAAGGACCCAGTGAGGGTGATGCTATTATTAGCCCCATCTTCCAGAAGGGAAAACAGAGGCCAATCGGTCAACGAATGTTCCCAAGGTCACACCGAGAATAAGAGCGACGTGAAGGTTTGAACTCAAGGGAGTGTGACTCTAGACTCAACATTCTGTGTCTGTCTGGTGATGCGATCACCATATATGACACGGGACAATATACAGATGCACCAGCACAAGCAATCACACATTAACTACTCATCATTGGGGCTAAAGGACTCTGATTCCCCATACCCCTTAACCTTCAACTTGGGCTGTTTACTGAGAGATTGGAGGCTTGAGGTCACCCTGAGGTGCCTCGGAAGGATGCCTGGCGAGCTCCTGCCATGAAGGGTCAGCCCCTGAGAACACTGTGAAGCATAACAGTCCTCCCCTGAGACACACGGGGTCACCCCCGACTTGGCCTCTTTGCCCTAGGGAAGGTTGCAGGGAACCTTTTTCTGCCAAGGTCCATTCGACTATTTATAACATCATTCTCAGGCCGTACAAATTGACCAGCTTAAAAACTCGCCTGCTTTATTTGGTGAAACGTTTCCTTCACTCACCCGTAATGTGATGGCAGGTGCCGCTTCTCTTTGGTGCAGCGGATGATGTTAGCCGGTCTTAATTTCTCAGGCAGCACGTTCCCTACCCCTGCCCCAGTCTGAATCTCTCCAAGGGGAGGCCTCCAGGAAATTCGTACCCAGGTCCGTCAGGGGACATGCACAAACAGGAAGACTCTGCATGCTGCAGTCTGGCAGTCTATCGCTGGGGTGCGGGGCAGGAGGAAGGCTGGAGGGAGCAGAGTCAGAGCAAAGCCAGCAGAGTATCTCTCTCCACAGAAAGGCCCTTCTGAGGTGCCAAGAGCCAAACAGTGCCTGCTCCCACCCCGGGTACCGGATCTGATGGTGGCAAGTCAGAACCCTATTATAAATGAGGCTTCCAGGACATATGAAGTACGGTTTTCTTTCTGCCTCCTCCTTGGGGTTACTTGAGTGGACTGTGAGGCTAACGAGGAAAAATAAAATGTTTGTTCTGTGCAGCCTGAGGGCAAGTGTTTTTGAGGCCAAGGCCTCTTAGTGAGGGGTCTTGAACCAAGCAGTGGTTCTCAACCCTCCTGATGCCTCAACCCTTTCATACAGTTCCTCATGCTGTGGTGACCCCCAACCATAACATTATTTTCATTGCTGCTTCATTACTGTCATTTTGCTACTATGATGAATCGGGCAACCCCTGTGAAAGGGTCGTTTGACCCCCAAAGGGGTTGAGACCCACAGATTGAGAACCGCTGCTTTAACAGCCACCGAAACATGGCACGATTTGGATTAGGGTAGACGCCTTATCAGGCAGACGGAAGGAGCCTGGCATCTGTTGGCACAGCGAATGGACCGTTGGGCTGCCGACTGCATGCATGGTTGGCAGTTCAAACCCACCAGCCATTCCCTGTGAGAAAAATGATGCTGTCTGCTCCCATAAAGATGTTCAGCCTTGGAGACCCGCTCTGTCTTTCAGGGTCACGATGAGTCGGAATCCAATTACAGGTAGTGAGTGGGTGGTCTTCTAGGAAACCTGTGTCAGCAAGTTAGCATCTGTGAGTGGCGCCCCCATACGTGCTTGAGGAGAACTGCACTCCAGGGAGGGTCCGTGGCTAGTTTTTGGAAGTTGGAGGTGACCACGGCCGTCTTCCAAGGTGGATTCAAACCTCCCACCTTTCCATCAGCAGCCAGGCTTGCCCCGTCCGGGCCACCCAGGGTCTCCCCATCATACCAAAAACCACAAACACCAAAATCCACCACCATCCAGTCGGTTCCGAGAATGTACAAACAGCCCCATCTTTCTCCCGCTGAACGGCTGATGGGTTCAAAGCGTCGACATTATGGTCACCAGTTCAGCGCTTACCCAACGGCATTCTCAGGCTTCCTTAGGACAGGCACTCCCCATACTAAGTCCTCCATCCATTTTTGAGTCATTTGCTTACAGATGTTCCAGGTTTCTGTATGCCTTCCTTGCATCATTCGTTCCCTCTAACCTCCCTCTCTCTATGCAGGTTCTTTTTCCGGTCAGGGAAGCAGACGTAGACTATGGTTGCGACCAAGGCAGCAAGTACCAAGACTTGAAAAGACACTCTGATGACTCCAGAATTCATCTCTTATACACACACAGACACACAGACACACAGACACACACACACTGTGCCTGCTCATCTGCTTCCTCCTCAAAGCAGTCTGGGAGGAGGTGAGATTTCTCACGGGATCCTTCCCAATGACAGTACTGGGATGCCCTCTGAAGGGATGCCCTCTGAAGGGATGACCAGGGCAGGTGAGAAGCCCAAAGACGTCTAGAGAGCAAGAACAAAGTTCAGTGAGGCCCACCTCCTACCCCCGCCCCTGCCCTGCCCAGAGGGTGTCCAGAGCATTGATGGGCATCCCACTAACCCCAACCTTCAGATGACCGGGAAGCTGAGAAGGACATCAGCCACCAGCGAGAAGGGAAGGAAAGGTGTGCAGCTAACTGGGGGACTGACATTCCCACAGTGGCTCCAGTGATATTTGGAGAATGTGTGATTTTTTGTTAACGTGACTCTTTCCATGATTTTGTATTCAAGTAAAGCTGGTTTTATACTTTCTGGAATTGCTTTGGAATTGTCTCTGGCAGTTGACAGATGCTCTTGTTAAGTCCACACCATATTCCAGTGGGCCCACTGCTTTTGCAAGGGGGAAAAGTGCTGGCAGTCAGAACTTTAAGGACACCATCGACAGGAAGACGCCTCTTGATTTCGGAGGTGGTAAGATAGGGGGGACTGGTCTTCTAGGAGTCTCGGAAACAGGCTGAGTGAGCGGGCGGCTCTGCGTTCTGCAGAGGAGCTAATGAGATGCTGAACACATTCTGGAGGCTTCTTAGTAACAGCTTCTGGAATGTTCTATGCCTGCTCCATGGATTTCATTTGTTCTTTGGAGCAACACAGCGGGTATGGGGATTGGTACTAATCTCCAGTTCATAGACCTCAGCAACCAAGGCTCAGAAAGGTTCCAGTGCCTGCCACGAAGCCACGTGGCAATGAGGTGACAGACCACTGTGCCAACAACAGGCCTGGCTCAGATTAATGATCATGCCACCGTGCATCTTACACAAAGTTCATGGAGAAATGGAATGAAAACATCCTGAGAATTTCCCACAAACTTTCTGAGGTCCCCTTGTCTATTTCTGCCAACTGTGTAGTCCCCTTATGCATTATTTCCCAGAGCAGGCTCTACAGGCTTTCTGGGTGGGCATGGTGTGCACGTGGTGGGTTATACGGGGAGCAACGGTAATCAGGACAATGCTTCCTGTCTGCCCCACCGAATGCCAGTATAAGCACTTCCACACACTGCCTCACACACAACCCCGAGGTGGGCGATATTCCCGTTAACGTTGTACACACAAGGAATCTAATGCATAAGGGGCTTTCTAGCTCCCCCCCTCCCCCCATCCCTGCTAGAAACTGGTTGAAACAAGACTTGAGCCCAGGTACAAACAACACAATCCAACAATCCAGGTTCTAATTTACTGCCGAGAAAGCTTAGCAGGCTTGACAAGTCTGGCCTAGAACACCCTTGGGCAGCGCCTTTGGGCTGAGGCCTCTAACCCGCTGACACACAGGACATCCACCCCACTCACCCCGTAGCCCTTGAGAACCCTGTAACCATGATGGGTGGTGGTGGTGGAGTTCCCGTTGGTTCACTCTCATAGCAACGCTGCGTATAAAAGGAAGCACTGCCAGGCCTGTGGCGGCCTCCTAAACTGTTTCTCTAGAGTCCACTGCTGAGCCAACCCGTGGCCCTCCACAGCCCCTTGAGGGTTTTCCTCCTTTCTGCTGCCCCTCTACTTGACCGAGCATGATGTTCTTTTCCAGGGACTGGTCCCTCCAGATAACAGCAGCTGAAACTTATCCTAACAGCCATTGGAAGACCAACCCCCCTACCCCCATTCCACGGATGAACCAACCAAGGAGCACTTTAAATCAGTGGTTCTCAACCTTCCTAATGCCACGACCCTTTAATACAAGTTCATGTTGCGGTGACACCCTCCCCCCCCCAACCATAAAATGATTCTCCTTGCTACTTCATCACTGTAATTTTGCTACTGTTATGAATCGGGTGAATCCCCCAAAGGGGTCACGACCCACAGGTTGAGAACCACTGCTTTAAATCAAAGCAGTATGCTTTTCTGGTCCCCAAGGAGGCTATGAGGGAGGGGTCCTGGTGTATACTTAAAGCACTTGGCTGCCAACAGAGAAGGAGCCTTAGTGGTATAGTGGTTACACATTGGGTTGCCAACTGCAAGATCAGCAGTTTGAAACCACCAGCCACTCTTTAGGAGAAAGATGAGGCTTTCTACTCCAGTAAAGAATTCGTCTCAGGAGCCCACAGGGGCAATTCTACCCAGATCTACTGGGTTGCCCTTGAGGGCAGCGAGTTTAGTCTGCTCCCATGAAGACTGGAACCCTGTGGGGGGCAATTCTCCTGCCTTAAATGGTTGCTGAGTCAGAACTGATGGCGGTGAATTAGGAAGGCGTACCGGCACATGAACTTAAGACTCACAGTTCAATGTGACCCTACCATAAAATACACCCAACAGAAAACCTACCCACTTTCCTCGACACCCACCCTGTAAGAACAGAAAGACACGGGGCCTTGCCTGGCAATAAATATTTTAATTTCATGTTTGTTTTGGGCTGATGATGACAAATCACTTTCAAGTTTATGTCTTTTCCTTTAAATACAGAGTTAAGCCACAAACAGGTATATCCAAGACATTTCATCTCACACCTACACGCTGCTGTGGGAATCCTAACTGACTTGACCGCTAGGCGGGGCGGGAAGACTTTCTTAGGTAGCACCATCATGAGGCCTGGGGGGAATCAAGGAGGACAGGCTCTCACACCTGTCTCCATTCACATTTACCTGGGACCAGAGTGGGCAGGGGACCCCAGGTCACAGCTCTGGAACCCATCCCCCTGGATTGAAGATCAACAGTGAGAACCAGTTTTGGGGGTGGGGAGCGAGGCAACTGCTCCTCCTATCTTTAAGCCAGTCAAGGTGAAGACTTTTTGCCTGCTTCCACAGGAAGCCCAGCCCGCTGCCCCGTGGCACCTGGCACCCTGCCTGAGGCTGGGAGAGGTGGTCATAGGGTGGGCCCCATACATCCAGACTAGTAGATTCACCTGTCAGTTGATGGCTGCTGCTACACAGGAAGGCCACCGGGTGGTCTGCCACACGCAAGGCTTCAGCAACAGGTCTGGACCTTTCCACCCAACACAATCAGGTGGGAAGGGAAGGGGGTGGGGCAGGGAAGTCATTCCAGGGCCCACTACAAAAGTTTATTTTTGATTAGAGTACCATCTCAAATCTTTCCTAACCTCCCCAAATAAAATCCCCAATCCCCCCACCCCCACAAGCTGCAATTTCACTCATTTCAAGATCTATGTACATATAAGTTGTTTTCCGTGGTGTTTCGGCCCCCCTTGTCTTTTTTTTTTTTTTTTAATGATTTTTCTTCTTCATCTTTTTTTCTTTAAAATAAATTCAGTGTTCACATTTCTATAAAGAGTTAAACCCAGTTTCTGGAAACCTGCCCTGGCGGGGGTGGGGTGGGGTGGGAGGCGGAGAGCGCCTCTCCTGCCCTCCCTGGGCCCATGTCGTGTCCAGTCTGATGACCTGCCCTGATTTGCTTCGAGGTGCCAAAAAAAGGAAAAAAGCGGCAGCCTATGGAAGAGTCAATACCCGCCGGCGGACGCCGGGGGCGCAGTAAGCTTTCAAGAAAGCAGAGGGGAAGACTAGCTTACTGCAAAACCTTCTCCAAAAATATTCATACACTTCAGCGCGCAGGCAGAGCAAGAGCTTGGAGACGTCCGGCGTCCGTGCGTGCGGGGGCGGAGTCGGCGTCCTGCGTCCACCTGCCGTCGGGGGCGGGGCTTCCGGGAGGGGCGGAGTCCTGGCTCGTCAGTCGGAGGCGGGCGGAACCTCTCGGCTCTCCATAGTCCGTGTTTGCCTCTTTCTGCTAAAACCTGTGCGGGGTCTGGGACCGCGTGCACGGGAAGCACAAACGCTCGGCTTGTATGCAAAAAAGGTACAAAAAACAACGCGGATATGAAAGTTTTGGTAATATAAGGCTATCTGTGCAAGCCCACCTTGGAAACCTGTGACAGATTATTTAAATACTACAGTGAAAAGGCATCTTAATAGATATATATATATATTTAAAAACATCTTTAGTCATCCACTAAGATTTAAGTGTGTAAAAAGGAAAAAAAAAAAGGGGAGCCAAAAAAATAAGAACCCCCAAAAGAACCCCGACTCCCTTTGAGGGCACTTTGTCCAGCGAGGGGCGGGAGGGTTAATGCTTCAGCCACGGGTAGGCCTCGATGGAGGCCTTGCTGCGGTCCCCGTAGTCGTACAGCAGCTCCTCGCCCACGGCGATGTCCCGCGCGGCCACCAGGATGAGGTGCGGCACGCCGTCAATGTCGTGCAGCTTCGTCTGGCAGTTCCCACACTTGCTGTGGTTGATGAGTCGTCCCAGACGGTCTGTCTCACGGGTGGCATCCACGCTGCGAGGGCAGGGGCACAGGACCAAAGAGGGTTACACCAGCAAAAGGGCCCGTGGGGGCAGGCGTCCTCTGTGCTGTGGCGTTTAGTGCAACGTCGACTTATGTCCCTGTTTTCCGGAGGGTGGTTTCATTCTCAAACCAACAATAGTCCCCCCGCCCCCGCCCCCCCCAAAAAAAGGTGGGGAAGTCATTTCTATGAGCACCACCAGTGGGTTAGGCGGTGGGCCGCTAACTGTAAGTACACGGTGGTTCGAGCCCATGCCCATGAGTTGCTCCTCAGGAGGGAGAAAAGGCTGTTTGCTCCCTTAAAGACGGACAATCTCATTAACACTAGATAAGGGCACTGTAAGAATTGAACCAGAGGGCAGTGGGTTTTAGGGGTATAAGCCGAGAGGGGTTCTAGATGGGGTGTTCTGGTCAGAGGAAGGAGTGCACCAGGGGTTCATTATGGAGTTACATTAAAAATCAAACCAAAAACCCCAGAACACAGTTGCCATCATGTGGATAAGGGCTCACTGAGCCCGGGAGCGTCAGAGTAGAACTGTGCTCACCAGGGTGTCAGGGGCTGGTTTCCCCCAAGACGTTGATTGCCAGGCCTTTCTTCCAAGGCCCCTCTGGTGAACTGACTGCCAGCCTTGTGGTGGTCAGGCTGCTGAGCACAGTAACTGCCTGCATCCCCCCACCCCTGTGGCAGCGATCAAGTGTTACAGAATAAATAGAGGAACAAACTTAGCCTCCCTCTGGCTGGAGACCTCCTGAGTGGCTCGAGCCAAGTGCCCTGAGGAGGGATAGGCCAAGCCAGCTCGAATCCCAACTATTAAGACTGGGACACACCGCGGACACGGAATAAAATCTAAGCGAGGATGCTCTCAGGCTGCGACGTCTGCCTGGGGTGGGAAGAGCCTCTATATGGCGTGAGCAGACTTACCAGTAGGTTTTGCTCAGATACTGGAAATAGTACATGTAGCAGCCCGTGGAGGGGTCCTGTGCGTACACAGCCTCCCGCTTCTTGGCATCGGTGATCTCGATGAGGTCCCCGTGGTACTCCACCACAAACTCGCCCCTCAGGAACTGCTTGGTGGCAATCACCCCCCGGCCTTTGCCATCGATGTGGTCAATCTGTCAAGAGAGGATGAGAGGGGGGCTGGTGCCAAAGGCCAGCACACAGGTTGCACTGCCGGCGTGCATGCCTGGGGCGTACTTGAGTGTGGAGAAAACCCACTCTCTCAGAGTACAGCTCAGCAGGCTCTGTCAGGTATGCAGTGAGGTGCAGCCATCACCACAGTCCACCTTCAAGCGTGCCCCTAAAGAGCTCCCCATCAAAGAAATCTTTGCACACCCACAGTCTTGATTATTTTCTCCTAAAAGCCTATTGTGGGTGACATGATGAGGGCCTAAGTATATCATTTTTCTTTCTTTTTTTATTTTAATAAACCATTTTATTGGGGTCTCTTACATATTTTAGCAGTTCATACATTCATTATATTAAGCAGATATGTACAGATATTACCATCTACAATTTCAAAACATTATCTTTCTTCTTGAGCCCCGTTGATAGCTGCTCCTAAGTTTATATCTTTTTGCATCCAATAGTCAATTGTGCCAAGACCATGTATTGAAAAGATTGTTCTTTTCTCAATTAATTGGTGATAATCAATCAATAATAAAAATATCCTGCAAAGCATCGATCACACCGGATCCTCGACAAACAACTTTGTAGTACAGAAGGACCCATTTTGCAGATGAGACCAAGGCTTAGAGAGGCAAAACCAAGTGCCCAAAGCCACATGGGGCAGTGGCATGGCGGGGACTGAAATCCATGTACAAGCCTACCAGCTCACTGTGCTCTGCAAACACCACGTGTTTCCACAAAGGGAAGGCCTATGGCAACCAAAAAATACCCGTGCCTCTCTTTACTCAGATTTTGGTTGATCTCGGTGGCCAGGCTCCAAGCAGGTGTTCTATCTCCAAGGCCTGATCATACCTGATCTCAGGACCCAGTGTTCCGAATCGCCCCGTACTATCCTATCCTCCTGTTTCTCCACAAAGCCAAAAACTCAGCTCACTGCCTGGAGTCCATTCCGTCTCTGGCCCCTCTGTGTAGGGGTTTTCCGGGGCAGAGACTCATCTGTCTCCTGTGGAGCGGCTGGTGGGTTTGAGCCACTGACCTTGCAGCTAGTGGCCCAAAGCGCATCCAGGCTCCTTGTGTTTTCCTCACTTTGTAATACATGAGGTTGGACTGGGGCTGCCAGCGTGGTTGACGCTAGATGGGGTTTAGAAACTGAAGCTTTCTGGTGACCATGAACTCTCCCAGGATCCACCGCTCTTCCTCTTCCCCCTCTTCCCGTAGCGACCTGAGCTGATCTGCCAAAATGACTCGTTATTCACTTGACCGAGAAAACCCCGCAAAATCATGCGAATCAGGAGGGTGGAATCTTCAGGGCAATTTTAAGGACCTTTGTGAAACTGCCCAGGCCATCAACGGTATGCCTGTCCGGAAGGCAGTCAAATATTTGAAAGACGGCACTCTGCAGAAGCAGTGTGCGCCCTTCCGACGTTACCATGGTGGCGTTGGTAGGTGTGCCCAGGCCAAACCAACAGTGGGTTGGACCCAGGGCTGGTGGCCCAAAAAGAGTGAATTTTTGCTGCACAAGGTTAAAATTGCAGTCATGTTGAACTTCAGGGTTTAGATCTGGATTCTCTGGTCACTGAACACAACCAAGTAAACAAAGCCCCCACGACGGCCGCTGGACCTACAGAGCTCGCGGGCGGATCAGCCCATCGATGAGTCCCCCAGCCCACACCGAAATGACCCTGACTGAGAAGAAACACATGGTTCATAAAGCAGAAGAGGAGGCTGCACGGAGGAGAAAGACACCCCAGAAGAAATGGAAGAAGCACAAACTTAAGGCCCAGGAGCACATTAACCTTAAAATAAAAGTTAAGAGACAAAAACAAAAACGGAAGCTTTCTGACCTGGGGGTGTGGGTGTTCCTCATCGAATTCCCACGAGGAGAATGACTCCCGTGGGGAAGCACGCCTCTCACCCACCACCCCGATGCGTCTGATGGACTCAAAGAGAAACACAAGCGTCTTGGACGCTGCTGTTGCCAAGGAAAACATAATTTAGGAAAAACGTAATAACGGGTTGTTTTAAAGGTTTCCTCCAGCGTCTTGCTGGATGCGAGATGCCGGACACACGAGGCGCCCCGTATTACGGGATTCTATTTACAGAAAATGTCCAAAATAGGCAAATCTGTAAACAGATTGGCGGGAGAGCTGGGGCCAGAGGTTCTGCAACTACAGTGGGGAAACACTGTGTTACCTGCTCAGTACCACAGAACTGCGCATTTTATTGGTTTAAAGGATACATTTTACGTGACCTATATTGTACCATAGTCTTAAAAAAGCTGTCCCACAGGGTAATATTCTCATACAATATGTCCGTTTATGTTTTCTTCATTAGTATTTGGTCCCCTTATCCCAGACAAGTCAGCAGCCACTGAAGAGTCAAAGCCATGGAAGGGCTTAACTTGAAGCCTTCACTCAAAATGCAGCAGGCACCTGTGGCCCCTTACCTTCATCCCTTCTTCCTTTCCACTTTCAATCAGCTCATCGATTCTCCTCCTCTCTTCAGACTGTGGGGAGGGCAAGCATAGGGGAAAGTGTCAGCATTCTCGCCGAGGCGCACAGGGATGCTGCGGGGGCCTGGCGACAGACCCTGGTTCACGGGTATGTTCTGTTTGGGAGGTTGACTTGGCACTGAATGGGTTGGGGCTGAGGAGAGGTTGTCCCAGATGGGGCACCAGAGCCCCCGTGGTTCCCACAGGCCAGCTGCCAAGGATTCCTTGCTCTGCCTGCAAGGAGCAGTTACTATAGATCAGCGGTTCTCAACCTGGGGGTCGAACGACCCTTTCACAGGGGTCGCCCAAGACAATATTTCCGATGGCCTTAGGAAACGAGACACCGCTCCTGCATCCATCTCCAGGCAGGTCCGCCCACATACGGGATCACCACAACACGAGGAACTGTATTAAAGGGTCTCGGCATTAGGAAGGTTGAGAACCACTGCTCTAGATGGAAGGTAGTCCATAGGATCAGCGGTTATCAACCTGTGGGTCACAAGCCCTTTGGGGGTCAAACAGCCCTTTCACAGGGGTTGCCCGATTTATCACAGTAGCAAAATGACAGCGATGAAGTAGCAATGAAAATAATTTTATGGTTGGGGGGGTGGTCACCACCACATGAGGAACTGTATGAAAGGGTCGCGGTCTTAGGAAGGTTGAGAAACTTCTATAGTAGATGGAGGGCCATGCATAGGAACAGTTACTATAGATCGGGTGTCAAACTGGCAGCCCGTGGGACGCATGTGGCCCCTGAGATAATTTTTTGTGGCCCATGATGCTCTGAAATAAAATGAATATAGAAAAAATTGTTATGAAGAAAATAGCGCTTAGGGGAGATCGAGGCAATACTGTACACACAATTCCCTCATTAACCCTTTAACTACTTAAGACAAGTATATATGTAGCCCAGTGCCTTTCTTGGGGGCCTGTGGACGTGTACAAACGCACTGACTCAGTTCCGGCGACCCTTGGAAGCGATGTCTGCCACTCTCAGTGTCACGTAATGCAAACAGATCCCCATAGTGAAAAGGTTAAAAAGAGCACTCTGGGTTATGCTGTTTTGAATCATACCTAGTGGCAGCGCTAGTTAGCATTTTTAGAGGGAAGCCATTACCATTGTGCATCATGTTTGTCAGCTGTCCAACATATTGTGTTTTTCATTAATTACTTTGTTATAGTTTCCGGTCACAGTGTAAGAGGTAAGTGAAAACTAGTAGGAGGAAAGCACTGGAAGTTTCGGGTAAAAAATAATAACTGTAGTTTTATTAATACATTAAATAAAATAAATGTTTAAGTAAAAGCAATTATACAGTGCTTTAATTATCCTATCCATATTCCTGACTCTTCACTTCAAGATAGAAATTTAACAAAACGTAAATGTGACGTGGCCCGTGTTTTAATTGAGTTTGCTGTAGATGGAGAGCCGTCCACCAGAGCAGTTACTATAGACGGAGGGCCATCCACGATATCAGTTATTATAGACGGAGGGCCGTCCATGGGAGCAGTTATTATAGATTAGGGCCGTCCACGGGAAGTTACTATAGACGGAGGGTCGTCCACGTGAGCAGTTACTATAGATGAGGGCCATCCACAGGAGCAGTTACTATAGATGGAGAGTCATCCACATGAGCAGTTACTATAGATGGGCCGTCCACGGGGGCAGTTACTATAGATGGAGGACTGTCTATAGGAGCAGTTACTATAGACAGAGGGCCATCCACGATAGCAGTTACTATAGATGGAGGGCCGTCCACGGGAGCAGTTACTATAGACGGAGGGCCGTCCACGGGAGCAGTTACTATAGACGGAGGGCCGTCCACGGGAGCAGTTACTATAGACGGAGGGCCGTCCACGGAAGCAGTTACTATAGACGGAGGGCTGTCCACGGAAGCAGTTACTATAGACGGAGGGTCGTCCACGTGAGCAGTTACTATAGATGAGGGCCGTCCACAGGAGCAGTTACTATAGACGGAGAGCCGTCCATGGGAGCAGTTACTATAGATGGAGGGCCGTCCACGAGAGCAGTTACTATAGACGGAGGCCTTCCACGGGAGCAGTTACTATAGATGGAGGGTCGTCCACGTGAGCAGTTACTATAGATAAGGGCCGTTCATGGGAGCAGTTACTATAGACGGAGGGCCGTCCATGGGATCAGTTACTACAGATGGAGGGCCAATCACAGGAGCAGTTACTATAGACAGAGGGCCATCTATCTGGAAGAGGCAGCTTAGCCCTGCATGGCAGGTCTGGATGGAGTGGGCATCCCCAATCTTACTGTCCTTCAAGCCACCCCCTCATTCCTGAGCCCAGTCCCACTGCTCAGTGGGGAGTACAGGAGATTTCTAGAGAGCAAAAGGGGATAACTTTAGCCCCAAACCAACACAGCTCCCCAGCATAGTCCTCTCCACAGGGGACCAAAACAACGTCACCCCAGAAATCAAAACCAGCCTGTGCACTCCAGACTTCTCTGGTCACCTATCTGTGGACACCTACAAGGAGCTGAGCACTGCTATAGGTGCTGTGAGGACAAAGGTAGGCAGGACCAGGTCCCTGGGACCTCCAGGACAGGTTTTTATACCGTAGGGAGACAGCCACAAAACAGGTCATTGTTTTTGCCCCCAAGCCAGCTGCTCTTCTCCAGCCCCACTGCTGCCCACCAGCCGGGCCAGCCTGCTCTTGCTCAACACCTACAGTAGCCACCTCGGCGGTCACTTAGCTTCCACTGGCCACCCTTCTGTCTGGTCTCCACCCAGGAGCCAGAGGGGGCACTTCTGGTGAGTTTACTGGATAGTAAGGGGGCAAAGCTAGTGCCCTGCTTGTGGCAAAAGAACCATGACAATAATGTATGATTGTCAACAATGACGGACGCTGTTGAGAGGGCTGCAGTAGCTGTCTGGGTGGCCTTGGCAACCTTTCTGTAACTGCAATTACTACAAGATACAGAGTTCATTTAAGAAGTCCCACGGCCACGGGGATAAAATCCAAACTCCAAGGGTGGCCTGGGAGAGTCTGCAGAGGGCAGGCCCCATCTTGCCTGCCTCACTTCCCACCCCTCACCCTTTGCCTCACACACTCCAGTAACGAGTGCTGGCTCATTCAAAGACCAAGTTTATTTCTGTCTCAGGACCTCTGCACAGGCCATCACCATGCCGGGTAATGCCCTTCCCCCAACCAGGTGCACGGCTAGCTTCTACTCTGCCCTAAACCCAAACCCAGTGTCAGAGTCAGTTCCAACCCTGCAGGCTGGTGGGCTTGAGAACCACCCACCCGTGGTTAACCCGAACCACCACCAGGGCTCGACTTCCACGCCACCTCCACAGAGATGTTCTCTGACCACTGAGTCCAACTGAGCCTTAGTCTGGCCTATCTGGCTGCCCCATTTTTAATCAATGAACAGAGCGCCGACCTTGGCTGGACCATCCCCCATTGTAAATCTTGGCCCCTGGAATGAATGTGAGTTCCTGGTGTGATCTTGCTCCTAGTTGGCCCGCCTGGCCTAGAATAGTGTGTGGCACAAAGTGAGCCTCTGGAAGCCACAACCACTGCACACAGAAACCCACACCTGGAAGCAGGCGATCGCTTCCAGACCACGGCAATATGCCAACTATACCACCCTCAAGCAAGGTACATTTTGGGGGGTTCCATGGCGCAGAGAGAAGTGATGCTGCCCCTCAGCTGTAGTGACGAAGCATGCAGCAGTGCGACAGAAACACCTGGGGGTTGGCAGGAGAGTGAACGACCACATGGCACAGAGGGGCAAGGAGGCAAGCACACCATGTGGGAAAACGGCGCCAGGACAGACCTGCTGGCGGCAGGGTGGCCCCAACCTTCCACTGGCAAACGGGCAGCAACTGCGGAGGCGCAACAAAACAAGGCGTGGCCGTGGCTCACTGCAGGGTGGCTTGGAGAAGCAGGTGGGCCGGGAGAGAGTGTACAGGCGCAGGTCTGCAGGTGGGAACTGCCCCGCGGTGCCTCCTGTGCCCAGGCTGGGCTGAGCACCAGGCCAGGTGGCCCAGAAAGCAGAGCCAAACGACTTGGATTTCATTCGGGAAACTGGGGCTCTGGTGGCAGGAGAATTCAGCCAGCAGCCCACAGAGTGGTCAGGAGGCAGCAGGGTCTGCACTCAGGAGGGACGGGGGCCTATGTGGGTAGGGAATGAAGAAGCTAGGACAGGGCCCCAGACGGGCACGCTACCCTGGGCTGGGCTGCAGCCAGACCCATAGGTGCGCCTCTCCAAAGCCTCGATCATACCACCCTGCCCTCAGACTTATTGCCCAGTCTGCAAAAAAGCTGGTCATGTCGTGCCACCCCTGGCTACCCACACCCTTCTGTTGTGTCCTGTTCCCACTTGGCCCCTAGCCCATTCCTGCCAGCTCAGAAGGGCAGTCAGGGCAGCACTGAATTTCCCCTGCAGATGTGTCCAGAGGGCACGCCCTAACACCCAGGGCAGACAGGAGAATCAGCTCCCTGACCAATGATCCCCTCACTACCCTGACCAACCAACTTCCTGATCTCCCTGACCAATAATCCCCCCTCATCACCCAGCCAAACCCCTAGTCAAATAGTCTCTCAGCAGAGTCCAAACAGGGTGAGGGGAACTGCCTGCTCCCCGGTCACGCCCGGTGTCCAAGTGCTGGGAGACTGTAAGTCTGCAGACCCAGCTTGGGGGGAGCGAGCGTGGGCATCCTCCCCACTGCAGCCCTCCTCTCTCGCGTCCCCACAGACAAGGTCTTGTTTTTTATTTGAAAGCCACCCGGGCCTTGAACCCCACAGCCACCCTCCCCAAGCCCACTTGGGCTGACTCCCTGGGTGGACACCACAGGGCCCACCCCACCGTGGGGCTTCCTGGGCTCTGCGGCTGAGCGTGGGCCTCGCCCTTCTGCAGTGCTGCCGTCAGGATGACCCGGCACAACCGCCTACTGCGGGCAAAGCTTTCATAACAACGCATTCTGGGCCAAAAGACACGGCCTTTCTGGGCAAATCAAGCCAAGCTTCTCTCCCGGGTAGGGGGAGGATGGCTTTTCTGTTCGCGTTTTTTTAAAATGAAGCCTCATGGGGATAGGGTGGGGGTGGAGGGAGAGAATATCACACCAAACCACCAGCAGGCTTCAAATAGATACTGGAAGGAGGCTATGTGAGGGCTGAAATGCTTGAGAAGCCGGAATTCCCTCCCCGACCCCCAGCCCATCTTTTTGTTGGGGAGGCAATCATTAGAACTGCTCCCAAAGCAGCTTAGGGAGCAAAGGGGTTAACATAAAAGACTCTACCATCGTGGGGGGCAAGGGGAGGCAGCCACGTCCCGCAGGGCCAGGCCACCTCCCCCCACTAGTTTGAACACCACACCTCCTGGCACCCAAGAGCACCTATTGCATCACTCAGCCTCTTGGCAAACACAGGAGGGCGAGGCCAACAGAGTCCGGCCCACCTGCCCACTGGCATTTTCCCGTCCTCCCTTGTCCCTAGGGATGGGAGCTGGGTGGGATACAAGGCAGATGAGCCCTGGGGGGGCCGTGACACCACCAGGGAAGCAAAGGTGACAGGAAGAACGATTTGGCACGTAAGCGGTTAACCTGCATTAAAGCGTTTAAGGACACGCCTCATGTGATTGCTCTTCGAGGAGAAAGCACATCTCGGTGCCATTTTTTCCAACAGGGTGTGGCCCCTTCCGGTCTCTGGGCCATAGTATGTCACTCACAGTACCTCGGACTGTCCCACCATCACAGTTCTAGGTCCCGGGAAACAGTAAGACCAAAGCGCCCCACCCCGAGCATGACCCACTTTACGGCGGCAGTCCCTTTATTGCACGTGTGGGACCAAACTCACAGTGTTTCTGAGGTCGTCGTTGCCATGACCCCACACTGCCCCCGACAAGTCGGGGCACAGAGCACTCGGGAATAGGCCCGCTCTTCACCACGGGCAGGATGCACCGCACTGCACGGAGACCTCCAGAGATCAGAAGGACCTCTCTCTAGCACGTACGACCCCCTGGTCCAAGGCTGCACCTGGACCTTCCAAGGAGTTCTGGAAAAGCCACCATCAGGAACGTCTTCACTTCCCACAAAAACACGCTCTGACAAACAGACCTTGGTCAAGCGCACGGGGACCCTTCAGGGCCAGAGGGACAAAAGGACGTGGCAAGTGCTGGGCACACCCAGGTGCGGGCAGACACGCCCACAGGACCACCACCTTCCCCTCCCACGGTAAGTAAAGCCACGTGACAGTTCCCATGCACAACGGCCTTCCCAGGCCAGAGAACTGAAGAACAGGGAAGGTGTCGGGCCACCACGACCAAGGGTTTTGACCAGGGGCATGAGAGATGGATCTTCACAAATGGCAGGAAGAGGTCATACAAACCCAAATGCCTTCAGAGAAGCCAGACTTACTGGACCCACAGAGACTGCAGGCACCTCTGAGACTAGCCACCGGATGCTCCTTAACACTTGGAACTCTGAGGTCACCCTTCGGCCCCAGGTAGACAGGCTCATGAAATAAACACAATAACTCGTTCTCACCTAGGACTACCGTGCCCCTTGAAATAATCATCTTTGGGGAACCAAGAAGTCAACAATGACTGCAGCAATGGCGGAAGGAAGCAAACAGAAATTGGGTCGATGGAAACGGTGAGGTTACGATAAGGTTACACTGAGCACAACTTAGCCCATCACCAAACAGGAAGTATAAGGTTCAAATTCAACTCAGCCACCAAGGAACTCAGCTCAGCCTCTTAGGAAAATAAATCCCTCTCATAAGGCAGAACAGAACGGCTCCCTAGGATTTCTGCCAGGAGCAGACGACCTCAGCTTTCTCCCAAGGAGCAGCTGGTGGGCTTGAACTTCTAACCTAATCTACTCCACCACCACGCTCGCTCCATAGCAGCATGCATAGAAATTGTTAAATGGGAACCTGAGTTGGTGTGCCACGTTTCACCAAAAACACAATGAAGAGTCACTAGAAACAGTCAACACCATACGACCCGACCAGGGGGCAGGCCCTACCTGCAGCTCTGCTTGGCTCTTTCTGGAACTCCTTCGGACAGGGTAGAAGTCTGTGAGCTTGCGGTTCTGTTGTGTTTTTCCTTGAGCTCTGGAGGGGGAAAGGAAACAAGCATGGATACTTAGGCCTACCCGACAGGCACCCACGAGCCCAGCAACTGCTTAGCAGGAGGCTGAGGAAGCAACGTCTCCTGTCCCCTGACAAATACCTGCTCCTTCCTTGTAGCCCCAGCCCTGGGCCAGGGGGACTCCAGGGGTCACTTACTTTTTCCTAGAGGTCGGTTTGCCCTTGCCGGGCTTTTTCAGGGTGGGCTTGGTGATGGCTCCGTTGGTGGAACCACCAGTCGAGGTGGGGGTTTTGGGAGGTTCTGCTGCTTCAGATTTTTGGTTTGGAAAAGGGACCAGTGGGCCTCTCCTGACGTCTTTGACCTTCTGTTCCTCGGACTTCATGGGGCTCCGGAGGGCACTCCCAGTGTTTCTCTTTTCTGTAGGCAGAAGGTGGGAAGGACACGGATTGACTTGGCCCTCTGCCGTCCTGCTGGACGGTTGGCTGCGTTCTAAAGCAGGCCTGGAGAAGACGGAGGCGGGGTGTGTGCTGCGGGGCAGCAGTGGCCCCTGACCACTTCACCAGGTGCCCATGGTGGCTGTCCTGAGAGGCTGTAGAGATTTTTTTTTGGCTTTGCTTTTTATTTTAACTTGGGTGACAGTTTACTGAGTGAATGGGTTTTCCACTCAGCAGATCCCAACACCGGCCATCCGTGTCCCCGTGCAGCAACATGCTTCCTCCCTGGATTCCTCATTTCTACTTGGCCTTCTTTCCTGCTCCTTCCTACCTTCCCAGCGGCCATTCTGGTGGCACAAGGTTGGTTGCTCTCAGGAGTGCAGGCCTCCCTGGTGTCACTGCTTGCCTCATATGCCTGGCTATCACTTGGCCGAAAGTGGAGCCCCAAGGCCGAGTTTAGTTCAGGACCTCAAGGCAAGCCGAAGGCCAGAGCCTCCAGGGTTCCGCCAGTCTCTAGCCAATGGGTAAACCCGTTTTAAAAATATTTTTGTGTTTCGTTTCACATTTTTCTCCCACTCCCTTACTGTTGATGATCAGTTAGCACCTTTTTTGACCAAGACACCAGGTGGGGCCGCTTGGGCTTCTGTCTTGAAGCAGGAGAGAACCCCAGGGCAGACTATCCCTCTGGCCTCAGAGCTCCAGCCAGAGCTACCCAAACTCAATTCCAATTCATAGCAACCCTACACAGGGTTTCCTAGACTGTAAAGGAGCAGACAGCCTCATCTTTCTCCCGAGGAGCGGCTGGTGGGTTTGAGCTGCTGACTTTGTGGTTAGCCCAAAGCCTAAGCCACAATGCCAGTGGGGCTCCTGCAGATCCCAGAGGAAGCCTAATTCCTAGAGAGGAGGGGAGGCTTGATTAGGATGCTGGACAGGAGGTAGGCAGCAGACGCACTTTCCCAGCAGGGAACCCACCTCATCCTCTAAGGAACAGAGGTCCCTCTCGTAAATGGCTGAGACCCAGTATCCATGGTGGTTCTCAGATGTGCACCCAGAAAAAGAATGGCAAAGCCACCGGTGTAGGTGAATAATTCACCCTTTCATTGCTCCTTAAAAACAAGTACTACATGGGTGGCTGGGAATGTAAAATGCTGTCTCCATTGTAGTAAAGGATTTTCCAGCCTCACTAAAGGCTAGCCATAGAATTATCCTGCCAAACCCAGACCCAACTCACAGCCACGGGGCCAATTCAGACTCATAACAACCCTCTGCAGGGAGATTCCACAAAGGTGAATCATTACAATCATTACAGGAGTTGTTCTCCCGAGGAGCGGCTGATGAGTCTCCATGGCTGGCCTTGTGGTCAGCAGCCCAGTGCTCTGCCAGAGTCCCTGTTTGACCCAGCAGTTCTGCTCTGAGGCAGGTACCCAAGAGAAATAATAATATCTGTCATCGTTTAAAAAAAAACAAAAAAAAAAACGTACATGGGAACGTTCACAACATCACTATTCTATATAGCCAAAAAGTGGAGGGGAAAAAAATATCCAGACTGCCGGATGGATACCCAAAACGTGTCCAGCCATGCAAGGGAAGCTAATTTAGAGATCAAAAGGAATGGAGTGCTGACAGCGCACTATGCTGCAGGGGAAAGCCGTAAAAGCAGGCCCTCAGCGTGAGGGACCAGGCCCAAAACATCCGCAAGGAGCCGATTCCACTGACATGAAACACCCGGAAAGGGCGGATCCAGAGAGGCAGGAAGTAGGCTGGCAGGGGCGGAAGGGACGAGGGGCACCAGGAGTGACTGCTGCTGGGGGCTGGGTTTCCTGACGGTCACACCACTCTGTGGACAGAGGACCGCTCTGCAGCAGTGCCTTTTAAACGAGGGTGCTTTGGACTAGGTGAATTCTATCTCCACCCATATAAAAAATAAAGGAAACTTCAAAACAGAGGGAGGAAAGGCCACCGTGGCATGTGTACGCGGTGCCTGGGTCCCTGCCACAGCAGGAAGGTTGAGAATCAGGCACAGGTACCTGGCCCTCAGGGTTATAGCCAAACGACATTTGGCCCGAAATTCTCATTGTCGGCATTCACTAATACTAGGAGCCCAACATCATCCATGGCTGGTTGAAAGGACGGAGGTTCAAACCCACCACCCAGAGACCATTCAGAAGACAGGCCTGGCGAACTGCTTCTGGAAGGTCAACGCTTCTGAAACCTTATGGAGTGAAGCTCTGCTCTGGATCCGGGAGGCCAGGAGTCGGACTCGACTCAATGGCAGATTAAAGCAGCTGGCGAATCGGTGTAGGTGTTGACTTAGCCTCCAGAGGACCACATGGAACCTTTCACACACTGGCCCCCTTCAAGCCAGGCCAAGTGCCCTTTACATATAGCCCTCAGGCAGCCAGGATGGAGGCCACAAGCAGCAGATGCCAAGGTAAGAAGGGTTGCCCCTATGCAGAAGGGCTGGCCCAGTGACAGGCCACCTCAGAGCCCAGTCACCCTGCAAGGGAGGGCCACTCCAACCCCTTTCCAGCTAACAGATGAGAGAAGGGAGCCTCAGAACACATGCCTGTGGTTGTTCAGTTGCTGCTGCTGAGCGCAACTGTGTTTCGTAGGTTTTTCTTTTTTTAAATCATTTTATTGGCTGATCACAATCCATCCATCCATCCATTGTGTCAAGCACATTTGTACATTGTACATAGCCACCATCATTCTCAAAACATTTGCTTTCTACTTGAGCCCTTGGTATCAGCTCATTTTCCCCCCTCCACTTCATAGGTTTTTAATTGCTTGTTTTGGGGGGAAGGAAATCGAGTCTTTCTGCCAATACCTTTCTGCCTCTCCTTGAACTTCCAACTTTTTACACCACCAGGGGCTAGGTAACTTGCTCAAAGCATACTCTTTTTAAGTGGGAGAGGTAGGATCTCCACTCTAGTCTTTTGAAGATAGACTGAAGTTTTGCCCTGGGGTCTTGGGGATTCCTTCTCCTGCACCCCAGCCTTGTTCTTAGATCTGGCCCTGGAGGTGGGCTAAATAATCACAATTGCCTTTCTGTCAATGGATGTAAAAATAGAAGGCTTTCTTACATGGGACTCCTGGCTGCCAGGGGTTCTGTTTCTTTAAGGCAAGTTGTAATTGAGAAAGTGAGGTGAACTGGGAAAGGTCACCTCCCAACTGCCAACTTCACCAGGGAAGACTGGGAGTCAAGCAAGGTTTCTGGCAAGTTTCCACTTCATGTGGCAGGGGCCAGACAGAATCTTCGATAGGTGTACAAGCTCTGTTTAACTGTTTCTCAACCCAGGGCGTGCCGGCTCTGTGAGGGATACTGAACACGTGAGAGGAATGATCCCCTTTAGAATGGGGTCAAGACCAGGTCATAACCAGGATGGGAGTTCCTTTATCATGTTCATGTTAGCCGTAATCGCCTGGCTCTGCAGAACCCGGGATGTTGGTGTCCACACTTTGAGCCATGCTGATGGCTGCTCATGAGTTTTCTCTTGAACCGTGGGTCAGGTGCATTCTGTCTGCAACCTGCCCGACCTCTCAAGTTTGCAGGAGAGGCAGACTCTTGGAAAGGCTAGTCACACTCCGTTGGTCTGTTTCTGAGCAACGAGAGAGCATGGCTCAAACAGAAGGAACCTGGGATACCTAATCAAGCCAATTGCTCGAGTCGATTGTAACTCACAGTGACTGTGTGTGTGTGTGTGTGTGTGTGTGTGAGCTGAGCTGGCGTAAATCCCTGGGCTGGCTCCCTTGGCACCCCTGGGTGGACTGGATGGGGCCGAGAACCCATTCACCGTGAAGAGCCAGCAAAGGCCTCTAAACCCAGCATGCACTGAGTTCTCGGTTAGGACAGCCTGCAGTGGCTTACCGTCTCGTTTCCGGTAGATTCCGGCTAAAGGTTTCCCTTGGCATTTGACTTCATGATGTGCCACTGAGTTCTCTTCCTGAAGTGGGGAGCGCATTCCAGAGCACTTGTTCGGGCTCATGTAGGAGTAAATCTTGGACTGCCCGATAAACAGGTTCTCCTAAAAAGACAAATGTGGATTCTGAAAGAGGCTGGAAGGGCGCAGCAAGCCCACTCCGTCTGGGTAGGGACGGTGGAAAGAGCGTTACAAATGACAGAAACATATTCACATCATTCTGGAAACTTGGGCGCCCTGGTGGTGTAGTGGTTATGTACTGGTCTGTTAACAGAAAAGGCCAGCAGTCTGAAACCACGAGCTGCTCCCAGGAGAAAGACAGGGCTTTCCACTCCCCTAAAGAGTTACAGCCTCGCATTTCCAAAGGGGCAGCTCTAAGCAGTCCTACAGAGCTGGCATGGACCTGATGGCCATGGGTTTGGCTTAGAAACCTGGACTGCCAGGAATGCGGTCCTCAGGCTCCAGGGAACAATGAGATCAGTATTCCCCGGGCTTAGGTCTCCTGCACATCTTGGGTCTCTTATCTCTGTTCATTCAGGGTCCACGTGACCAGCAGAACCAGCTGCACATAAAAATGTACAGCCAGGGGACATCTGACAACGTGGTGGCCACAATGACCCAGGGCAAAACACTGCGAGGCGCCTTCAGGCGGGGCTGTGTGCAACAGCAAACTTGCCAGATCTTGGCCAGCCAATCCCATGAACCACTGGGGCTGATCAGGATGGGCTGAGCCTTCCGTGTGCCCAAGCCCACCCCTCTCAACTCCTGGCAGGGAGGCACCTCCCTGTCTTCCAGGAAGCCTCCCAGGACTGGGGGTGGGGGCATTCTCTGAGTGACGGGGAAGGGACGCTAAGGGATCCGCCATTAGCCTCCAGCCAGGGAACTTGGGCAGCTCCCACTGCAAACTGCTCCGTGGCAGGCCACTGGAAGTCTCTGGGGTGGGGCCTCTCTGAGTAAGCACAGGCAGGCGGAGGGCGTCCCCAGAAACAATGCCAGGCCCTTTGGGAAAGCCAGTAGGTCTGCCCAGTAGCCTCGCCGAGGGCCACGGGCAGGGCCCCAGCACAGCCAGGGGGAAAGCCACCTCTGGGGGCGCTGGGCTGTGAGGTAGGGAAACAGCAGAGAGACAGTGAAACTTTTCCGAGGTCAAATACCGCCGCGGCCTGAGAGCCAGGCTCGTGGCGGAGCAAGGTGGACGGGCAGCAGGAAGGGAAGTTGCAGGGCCGTGGCGCCGGGGATCCTGGGGGGCGCCCACGTGCTCGTGGCCCGGTCCCGGCGGGCGGCCTGGCGGGGCGTTCGGCGCGGGGAG